AAAAAAAAAAAAAAAAGAAGGGACTGAGGTCTAGAGTCAAATGTGTGGTGGGGTGGGCATCCGTGCAGAGATGGGAAACTGAGGCTAGGGGGATGGTGAGACCCTGGAGGGTGCAAAGAGTGAGGAGAAGATAGGGTTCACCCCTAGGAACCCTGGAGGGGTGTAACTATTAGGAATGCTTCAGTTTCAAGTAATAGCCACTCAAGCCAACTGGAACACTGAAGACATTTATCGTAGCAAGTGGGGCCTGGAAGCAGAGGGGTTCAGGCTCTGGGGAGTAGAGATGGCGTCACAGAGAGAAGGTTTGTGAGCTCACCTGGCCCTGGCTAGAAGTGAGCTCTCAAGCCTCACCCTCAAGGAACGGGGGCCATCACGCTGCGCAGAGGGAGAGGTGGGGTCAGAGGTCCCCATGGCCCTCACACACCTCTGTTGCACCCCCAGATCTGGTACCTCCTGGAGGGCAGCTACCGGATGTACAAGCTGTTCCCGTCCAAAGCCTGGGAGGTGTACGTCAGCCTACAGGTGATGCACCAGTCCTCCTTCTACACCCCCAGTGAGACCATGGTCACCCTCTTCTACGAAGACCGCAAACTGTACCAGGTGCCAGGCGGGGGGTCACGGGGAGCCATGGGGGAGCCGCAGGGTGGCTGGCTGACAGCAGCTTGCCCGGCCCCACCTCCCCACTGCAGCTGGTGTACCTCATGAACAACAAGCAGGGCCAGCTTGTCAAGAGGCTTGTGCCCGTGGAGCAGCTCCTGATGTACCAGCAGCTCGGCAATCACTACCTCTTGCAGCGGCAGGGGTAGGAAGACCCCGGACCTCAGCAGCAGTCAGGGAGCCCTCCGTGCTGCCCACACAAAGCCCCTATTCCAGGAGGGAGAGCAAGTCATCCCCAGTGGCAATCCTCAGGGCTGGGATGGGCCAGCTTAGCGCCCATGGAAGCTCAAAGGAGGGGCCTGACCGAGGCTGGGGGAGGCGGGTGCCATCAGGGAGAACTTCAAAGAGGAAGAGGTGCGAGAGCCACTGTGAGCTGAAGGGGGAGGGAGAATTAGCCAGGTGATAACATGGAGAAGGGATTCCAGGCAGGGGAAGCCACATGTGCAAAGGCCTTGAGGAGGAAAGGAGATTGGGTGTTCAAGACTGAGAGAAGTGTACAGCGCAGACAGAGTGCAGTGCTGGGGGCAGGGTGGACAAGGTGAGCCTGGTGATCATAGGGAGGAACTTGGACTTCATCTTGAGGGTCCTGGGGAGCCATGGTGGGACTAAGAGGAGGGACTGCATGGCCAGATTTTACTGCGTTCAATAATGATCCTTCTGGTCACCTGCCAAAGAGCCTGGGAGGAGCTGGGAGAGGGGGCGGGGAGAAAGGGGAAGTGGAAGAAGGCGTAAAAAGTTGAGCGGGGGGAGCGGGTGTCTAGGATGAGGTCCAGAACTCTGGTCTGAGGGACCCAGGGACGTCCAGGGGAATTTGTCCAGGGACACCAGGGGCTGAGGCTGAGGAGGAAGGTCAGGGCTGGATTAGATTTGGAGAATCAGCAGAGCAGAGGGGGGAGGAAGGCCTGACGGGTGGTGGGGGGAGGTTGGCGGTGCGCCAGGCGCGGAAGAGTCAGCCGCCGCCCCCCCACCCCCACCCCCCCCGCCCCACTGCCGCGGCCCAGGAACCACCTGACGCTCTCCTTCACCAACTTCTGCCCCTTCACCGTGATGCGCCTGCGGGACCTGCCCAACCCGCAGATCTACACGCGCCAGGAGCGCTACCGGGCGCACCCGCCGCGCGTGCTGGAGCCCTCGGGCTTCCACGACGAGAACTCGCTCGCCGTCTACCAGGGCCTCGTCTACTACCTGCTTTGTCTGCACTCCAAGTACCACAAGGTGGGCTCCTGGTGGGGGCCCGGTCTGATCTGAGACCGGACTGAGGAGAAAGCAAGGCCCGCGAGGCTGGAACGGAACGGAGCTGCCTGGGAGAATCCGAGGCTAAGGGGGTCCGGGGGAGCTGGCAAGCAGAGCTTTAGGAGGGTGGCTGTTGAGCTGGAAGTAGGGCTGGGGGGTGGGGGGCTAAGCTCAGAGAGGTGCAGACATCTGCTCAGAGTAACCCAAGGAGCTACCAGGGTCTGGTAGCTTTGGCTTTGGGTTAGGGGCTGGGCATGCCACCTGCCTGGGGTCGCCTCCAGCTCACGGTGCCGGCCGTCCCCCCAGCCATACGCGGACCCAGTGCACGACTCCACCTGGCGCTGGTGGAAGAACAAGAAACTGGACCAGGTGCGGGGAGAGGGTTGGGGGTCGGGGGAGCGGCGGCGTCAGGACACCCCTCCCGGCCCCCGCCCCGGGTCTGACTCTGCCCCGCATCCCATCCCCCAGGATTACTACTTCTATCTGGCTAGCAACTTGCAGAGCGCGAGTAACGTGTACATTGACATGGCCAGCTACGAGAAGATCTACGACCTCAAGGCCAAGCACGAGCTGCCCGAGCGCATCTTTCTGGACAAGGGCACCAGCTACGCCTTCTCCGTCTTCCTGACCGTCCGCGGGCACTCGTTCGAGTTCCAGCCGGAGCGCGGTCTGTGGGCGAGGCTGGAGTGGAGTCGCCGGGGCGGGGCGAGGGCTGCGGCCTGGGCCTTGCCAGCCCAGGGGGCGGGGTCTGGGGGCGGGGCACCGTCCCACGCGCGCGGCCCTAACCCCTCCCTGTGCATGTAGTGCTCACCACCGTAGAGCTGCGCAGCAAAGTGGATCTGGGCGTGGTGCTGGCCGACCCGGGCTGCATCGAGGCGGTGGTGAAGCAGAAGGTCCTCATTAATCGCAACTCGGTGCTTTTCTGGGTGAGATAAAGCGGGGAGGGGGTGTCGAGGTGGGGGCGGAGCTCCCGGGGCAGGGCACTTTTAGAACTGTCCACGGGTCCTCAGGCAGGCCTGTCGACGCCTTCATTTCTGCCCCCAACCCCAGGTTACGCTCAGTGATAAAAGGTCTTGCTTTGATCAGGGCCTTAGTGGACATCACCTCATGAAGACCTCCATGTTGGTCAAGGTTCGGTCCAAGACTGGAGGGGAGGGGACATGGGAGGAGGGGAAAGACTGAGCCCACGGGACCCACCATCATCACCTGCTTCTCTACCCACAGGTGGTGGGCGCAGTCGGGCACTGCTTCCAGAACACGCACGAGGGGCCCCGCATGCAAGTATTGAACCTTGGGGTATCGGGCCCTGTGCTGGGAGGGAGGGGATTGGGTTGAGTCTTGACAGGGCTGATTCTGAGTGCTCCCCCTGGGAATCCCACTAGTGCATTCATAATTTCTTCCTTTTGGTTCATTCACCCACGCACCCACCCACCCACTCCTTTCATCCATTCATATTTGCCGAAAGGGCTGCCTTTATGGTTGTGTACCTTGCACCCAGGCTTGTATGTATAATATTTTTCTGCACGGAAGAGTAAGGCATCTGCAACACAGGCCTTTTTGTTCCCAGTTGGCACAAAGGAAGCCATGTGGGCTAGCTGGGCCCTTCTTTCACATGTTGCTCTTCATTTGCCCGCTCACACGTGCTTTGTTCACTCCAGTGGGTCCTTAGTTCTTCACTTGCTTACCCATGCAATATCCCTTTTGTACAGAGGCAGACACTGAGGCTCAGAGAGGTGCAGACATCTGCTCAGAGTAACCCAAGGAGCTAATAAGTGGTAAAGGAGGGACTTGACCAATGTGCCGTGTTCTCACCCACTTCCTTGCCCACTCACCAGCAGACAGGCCCTGCTATCCTCCCTCCTGGCTTGGTATAACCCAGGAAAATAAAAATAAAAAAAAGGGGGGGTGTAATAGCCCCCAACTCATTGTGGGGAGAAGGAGAGCAGGGAGGAGTGGCTGCCTCAGCATCCAATAAGTATTTCCTGCTAGCCTTGGTGATATGCATTATTTTCCTTTTAATGATAACCCCAGAAGGTCAAAGTTAATACCTCATTTTTGACCCAAAGGATCCATTCTAGGAGTCTAATCTGCAACACCCTGTTACAGCAAAATGTTGGAAACAACCTAAATGTCTGTTAATAGGGGAGTGGTTAAATAAATCATGGTACATCCATGCAATGGAAAACTATGCAGTTGTAAAAATAAATAAATAAAAATAAGGGAAAAAAGATCTCCACATACTGATGTGGAATAGTCTCCAAAGTGTATTTTATTTTGTTTTTAAGATTTATTTATTTATTTATTTAAGAGAGAGAAAGGGAGCATGAGCAGGGGGAAGGGGCAGAGAGAGAAACTCAAGCAGACTCCGCACTGAGCGTGGAGCCTGATGCAGGGCTCAGTCCCATGACCCTGAAATCAGACCTGAGCTGAAACTGGGAGTCGGATGCCAAACTGACTGCACCACTCAGACACCTCCAAAGGGTATTTTATTCTTTTTTTTTTTTTAAAGATTTTATTTATTTATTTGACAGAGAGAGACACAGTGAGAGAGGGAACACAAGCAGGGGGAGTGGGAGA